TTTGACAGTTGGGCCTGCAGGCTGGACGAAAGAAGCGGGACGCACGTCCACGCCATCTTCTTGGACTGGGCCAAAGCCTTCGACCGCGTCCCGCATGACCGTCTGCTGTCAAAACTCGCCCACTATGGCGTCGGCGGCAACCTCCTAAATTGGCTGAAAAGTTTTTTGACCGACCGCAGCCAGTTCGTCGTGTATGGAGGAGCAAAATCAGAACCTGAAAGCGTCCTGTCCGGAGTCATCCAGGGCAGCGTCCTGGGGCCGCTGCTGTTCAACATCTACGTCGCCGACCTGCCCGCCAACATTGACTCTGAATTAGTACAGTACGCGGACGACGCAACCCTCTGGCGCGAAATTCAGAACCTCTCGGACGTCGCCATGCTGCAGGCCGACCTGGACAGTGTCCGGGCGTGGTGCGACAACAACGGCATGTCCCTGAACCCGGCCAAGTGCCACGTGATGGACGTGACGCGTGCCCGGACACATCGGCACGACGTCTACAAAATCGGCGCCTCCACCCTCGAGTACGTCACCGACGAGCGCCTCCTCGGCGTCCAAGTGTCCAAAGACCTGCGGTGGAGCAAACACACGGACATCGCGCGCGGCAAAGCAGCAAAGGTGCTCTCGTTCGCGGCGCGCAATCTGCACGGCTGCACGCCGCGCGTGAAAAAGTTGGCCTACCAGACGATGGTGAAACCTCTCCTGTTCTACGGCACCCCCGCGTGGCACCCCTCCATCGATATTAACATCAACAAATTCGAGCGAGTGCAAAAAAGAGCCCTCAGGTTTGTGTACGGGCGGCACATCCCTGACGCGGCCGAACACGGGTTGCTGTCGGTGCAGCAGCAGCTTAAGTTTAATGACTTGATGTTTTTCAAGAAATGCACCAGTGGCGAGACTGACATGGACGCAAAGGCGAGAATCACCACCGGCCGAGTGATGAGAAATAGTGGCGGCGAGCACCGTTTAATTCTCCCAAAAGTGCGCACAGAGCTCGGTCGACAAAGTTTTTCTTTCCGAGTCGCGGATCAGTGGAATTCCCTGCCTTCTGCGTTAAAAAATTGTACGGTTCCTGAGTTTAAAATTGCATGCAAAATATATGTAACCCTTTGAATTTTCCTTTTTTTTTCCCACTTACGGCTCCAGTTCGGCGAGTAGGTTTAAGTTGGAAACACTTTTGCTTCCAAATTGAGCCTATGAGTTTTAGTAAGCTGTTTACTAGAGCTGGCTGCCAATTCTCTCCCAATGTGATTTTTTTTAATTTTCTGTTTGACTTGTTGCGAGAGAATAAATGAATTGAATGGTATTTCACTGCGTCGAAACTCCGCAGTGCCCCGAGCGAGAGACGCGCAACTCTGTTGAGGATGCGCTCAATTTTTAATCGCGAGTGCCCCGTTCCGGCAGGTGAGTGCCGCGCGCGCTTCTTTATAGCACCGCAGCAACACACCCTAGGAAAATTGTACTCGTGGGAAAAAACGATGCGTTTTATCTCGGGGAAAAAAGAATCAGAATTTCTAATTCATTCTAAACATAACAAAACCGCCAACAGTAAATGACGTGCAATTGTCTATTCCGGATTAATTTCAGTGAAAATTGACTGTAAGTTCTATATTAAGCTAATTATGTTTAGCTAAATATATTGAAAGCAATAAAGAACTATTTCAAATCGTAGAAAATCTTTTTTTTTAAGTTCTCTAAAACGTAAAAAAGATCATGTTTATTGCAAAGTTGGAGAAGATAAAAAACTATTGTAGTTGTAAAAATAACAAAAATAACAAAAAACTAAAACTGAGTGAGACTTAAATTATTTAATATTGATTAATTGATTATCCTTCTAAGTTCTAAGTAATAATAACAATTTTGAAAAAAGAAATCAAAGGAAGAGTGTCACAGACCATGAGTTTAATTTAATTTTGTAAGTATCTAATTTAGCAAGAACGTTTTTTTTTTTGCAATTAAGTATTCATTTCAATTTGTTTATTCTCTCACAAAAGGCCAGATTATTTTTTTGGGAGGGGGGGGGGATTAAAATATTTTGTGGCTTAATTTAATTGAAAAAGGACAATTTAACGAAACTCGCCCATTTTCTTGATTTATGTTATGTAATAAAACTGCATTGAAGACAATAATTATTGCATCTCACTTTTCTGTTTTTGCAGAACTAAAGCGTTTGCTCAGGCAGCGAATGTCAGTGATAGCCAGGGCTCGCAAAGAGTGCCGCTGCAGCTGAGAGCACCGAGCTAGCTGTTATTATTGCACTCTGCTGGTGACAGATCGAGGTTGACTTGCCGAGGCAATTACTTCCCTCGACGTGTAAAAAGTTCCCCTTTTCCACTTGAAAATTTCATCACGCCCCACGGCACCCCGTTCACATGTACAATCTGACGGAGAGAAAATGCAAAACTCCCCGACTTTGGCTCATGATCTTTGATTGCGATTGCACTCGAGAGGTTTGCGGAACACAATCATCAAGGTTTCTTTTGATAAGAAGATTTTCATTACGAATGCACTTCTTGTGCAGTAAATGTAAATTTTAAATACGCAGAATTCTGGATTCAAACGGTGGAATATGTCGTTTCCTTATCATTAAAAAAACCTTTATTGAAAAATCTTTTAAAAATATTCAATTTAAATTATTATTTAAATAATAATTAACATGTTTTTTTCAACATAAATTATGGATAAATTTAAGGGAAACTAAAAATTTAATTATGCAAAGAACATTTAATATAAATTAAAATTCTGCTACATAAAATACATAAAAAGCTTTTCAAGAAACTGTATTATTTTTTTCAACTCGAATTTTGTTTCTAGTTTTCATTAATAATTTTGAATATTTGGATGATGTATCTCGTTTATAGGCAGATTTATTGCCTTGTGGTACACCAATATAATTAAAAAGTTAAAAAAAGCCGTTGTTATTGTTGCATTCAAAGCTTTTAAACTGCTTAAGCTTTTGAATTCACGATTCAATATGTAACCAATTGAACGGTAGCTATGGCGTAAAGGAATTTGGCGAAAAAGCGCCGCAGTTCAGCCTTTTCTCCTTTTCTTTCATCCAAGTATTTTCCTTCAATCGCGGCTGCCCGAAAGTCAAAGAGGCTTGAAAAGAGAACCCGCACGGATATATCTTTTGCCGAGTTGAAAAGCCCAACAAACTAACTCGGCTGCCTCACTCTCGAGGGCGTGTTTTTATTTACGCGAATCCGCAGCAGCACAAAGTTGGTCTTCGCATCTCTCTCGTTCGCGCACCAGTTTCTATTTCAATTTATTCCCCGAGAGTTAGGGCGAAAAGTTGCAAGCAAAGAAAACAGCGCGTCTTCCTCCTCGATTGCCTGCTTCTGCTCCTTCGTGCTCAGTAAATAAATACGTTTACTTGACGTTGGCAACTTTTACTACAAGGCTTTGCAGCCGAGCAGCGATGGCTTTGATTTGACTCAGCGTCGCAGGGAACCAAATAAAGAAAGGAGCCGAAAAGGAAAACGCCGCAAAAAGAAGCAGCGGCCGGGAATTCAATTTTGCGCCACAAGTTGAGCCGAGTTTTCAGAGAAGAGAAATCAAAGAAAGAAATTCCAAATAAATGCTTTCGAGTTTCAACGACTACTTGCATGACCAATATGCCTTGACCCGCATTTGACAGATTTTTTTGTTTTTGTTTTTAAAGAAGAATCTTCAATTCCAAATTCCAAAGATACTAAATCAAAAAAATATTAACACAATTTGAACAGAATTTTCGTCTTATTTATTTATTTAAATATGGCATAAATTTCTTATGGCAAAATTTAATTTGTTTTTACCAAAATTTTCAACTATTTCTTCAAGGGTTTGCGAAAATTATTTATCTCCAACCAGCGGCTATAAGTGATCTATTTTCAAAATGAATATTTGATTTTTTTAATACTCGATCAATTGCAATTAACTAATTAGTTTTCGTTAAAAACGCAGTAAAACATTTTGTGTTTTTTATAGTGCTCACATTTACGACGCCTTAAAGGCAGTTAAATTATTTAAATTCCTTATTTCTTGTTTGTCCAAGAAAAGCTCTTCAGCTTCTTAATTTAAACAAGAATTTATGCTTTTTCCTGTGTTTGTACTTTTGCTAAAAAGTATATACAGCTCAAAAGTTTTCAAAGCAGCGAGGCGGAGCAATTTCGGGATGAAATTTCGCCACCCGGTCGGCCGTGCAGCAGCCGACGGCGATTTACACTTTGTTAATTAAATACATCAGCGGGCTAAAGTTGCTCGGGGGATAAAAACTTTGCTCACCGGAATGAAATTCATTCACCCGGGCCAAAAATAACGATTCGCCGCCTGAATTTCACTCTCTCTTCCACAGAAAAAATTCTAAATAAAAAATCTCTTGCCTTTTTCCTCTCTCGCCCAGTGACGGGCAATTAAAGTAAAAAGGCTGGCCCTTGGGACAAAATATATAAAATGTAACGGCGGAAGTGCAACGTGCCGCAAGTATGCAGCAGGGGTCGTTTGATTTTATTCGCATTCGACCCTTTCGCCCACGAGACTGCCCTGCAGGGGGACGGAATTTTTCCCGGAAAATAGCTTCAGCGCAGTTTGTTACGCGCTCGTGACTCTAACGACCGAACCATTTCACGGCTCTCTGCATTTCTGGAAAAATGATAACAAATCTCGGACCAGCAAAATGTTGTAGATACTCGTAATATAAAATTTAGCAGTGTTTGGCATGTGAAAAATAATCATTTTTGCTGGGGAAAACATTATTCATTCAAATAAATATAATTATTTCAAAAATGGCATAATATAAGTTTTAATTATAATTTTTTTTTACAACATTTCAAATGTGTTAAAATATTTAAATTTTTAAAGAAATTTTGAAATTATATTATATTAATATTTAATAAATTATTTTGATTCATTCCAAAATGTCTTGACAGTAATACTTATTCAATAATATAAGTCTATTCTTTCAAATATTTCAGATAAGTCGTAAGATTATTTACTAGATTATGAAATCTTAGTAAACTTACCATAAGGGCAGAGACACTGGAAGGTGGTGCCTTCGTGGCCTTGAGAGATGTCGACGCAGATGCCGTGGTTTTGGCATGGGCTGGGGTAACAAGCGTCCTGCTCTTCACAGTGGGCACCCACAAAGCCAGCGCAGCACTGACACTCATAACCCTCCTGAAATCATGCAAGAAATCATAAATTAATTATTGTTGGTTAAAATTAGGAAATTTGATGATTATTAGCAATATATGGCAGCATTGAAGAAAATATAGAAAGTGGGAATTGGAAAGTGAGTACCAATATTTATGATGAGGCTAATTGAATTTAATTCCTAGCTCTAGAATTTTCCTGTTCACGTCGGAAAATCTAGACTGATTCTAGCCGTTTTTCCACAGAGAAGGGAATGATTTTCAATTTTCTTAATAATTAATTAACTTACAGCTGGTTGAGCTGGTTTTTATCCACTTAAAATTCAATATGATGTCTACTTTTAATTTCTATCCAACTATTTTTAGTAACTTATTGATGCATTGTTATAATATTTTAGTTGTTTTTTTCTCTCTTTCTTGTTTTGTACTATGTTGCAAATGAAACGACGCGTTGCAAATCAAGATATCTTGGTGCAAAACTCCAAGAGGGATAACAAAAAATTAGGCGCATCGCAACGAGTCATAAGTCAATAATAATTAACAATAATATAATGTAAGTTAAAACATTATTAACATTAGCATATGTCAACCAAAGTGATAAATCATTGATTTCGGTGATTGCCATTAAGCAAAACTAATTCTTAAAAATCCCACAGCAAAGGAAGATTGTGTACACATTTGAAATTAGATACATTGGTTTTTTATATTTTCCATTCAAATTCTTTCAAAAATACTCAACCAATATCATTATTGCTCACTGTGGCGGATGGGGCATTTTGATATCACAAGATTTAGCAAAATCTGTGCTAGTGGTGGTGCCTTTTCCCCTCCACAAATTCAATGTTAACCTCAAATCAACTTTTTTCCTGCAATCATTCCAATGTAACAGTTTTGAAAAATATACAAACAATAATAATAAAGAAATAATGAAGCTTATATGCTTATATCAATTAGAATTTTTTTGAACTGCTTAATTTTTTTTAAAAAAAATTCAAATTTTCAAATTTCCCTGTCGACTTCTCAAGTCTTCAAAAAAAAAATCATCTGCTTTTAAAATCTAATCTGCTGAGATTTCTTTGTTCTACTAAATGTTGATAACAATCTGGTGTAATTCGACAAGTAGGATCTTTGCACGTATGTGCTTTTGCCTCATGTGGAATCAGGACAAGTGTACGGGTGGAAAAGACCCGCCGGCGGGTGGGCGGCTGCGTCGGATACAAGAATAAATTACGGGCACGCACAATGCGCGCGCGAGCCGCAAAGTTGTATGTGCGCGCTGCAAAATGGGCCTGCGAGACGCACATGAATTATTTGCGCGGCGGCGATAAGGTGTCACCGGCAGGCAGCCAAAGAGCCCCGTCCGTGCAACCAGCCAGCCCGACGAGCAAACATACGCATAAAACAAGCAGAGCTGCAAGAGTTATTCCTGCCGAGAGCCAAATTGCTCCACATCTGCGAGGGCGTTTAATTGCTGCCAAAGCCGAAACGCCGCAGCCGCTCGTCAACTCGAGATTATGCCCAAGTATTATTATTATTATTATCGCCATCATTACGGTCTCCCTCTCGTTATCAAAGTGTTGCGCCTTCGCACATTGCGCCGCATCAGGAACATCAGAGGGACTTGCGATGAAAAGGATTAACACAGAGGACAATTTTTTAAAGACAAAAGATACATGTTTATATTAATATTTGGCAGAATAAAATTGAAGTGTCTGTTTCATATTTATTATGTTTCTTTATTTGAAACAAATATTGTTTTTTTTTTTTTGCCAAAATATATACTATATTCTAGTTTTAAATTTACTTTATTGGTATCTCTGCGTTGCAAGAAAGCAGATTTAATCACTATTTGAAGCAACAAATGTGTAATTCATAGACAAAATTTTTGAAAGTAAAATTCTTCTAAATCTTCTTAATCTGTAAAAGAATATGCCGGAATATGCAATTTAATAAAAAATTATAAATTATTATTAGTTTCACCACTTGTACTTTCTAAAACTTTGATAGAAAGCTTGCCCACCGAGAAAATGTGTACTGAAGTGATTGTCATCAACGTTATATAAACTTGGAGGTCATGCAAGCTTTTGTATTCAGAATTCTAGGGGAATACTAATCCAATCCTAAAGAGGAAAACTAGGAATTGATTTTGCACTTTTGGTTGATTTAATTTCGCTCCGTATAGCCTCGTCACCAATCCAGATCAGCAATTTGCCTCCCATCGTTTATTAGAAAAAATTCCCAGGACCGATCCATTAAGTAAATATTGACTGGCTCTTCCTCGTCGTCGTTGCAAAAGGAAAAAGCTGCCATCCGAGAAAATGAAACGAAATTGCGTCTCTTTTGAGGCCGGCGGCGGATAATTGAGTTGAGAAGGAATGTCGTCTGCACCGCGCTAACGAAGCAAGCAAGGACGCTTTTGCAAATTCACCGCATTATCCTCATTTCTTTGGAAGGGGAAAAAAATATACACGAGTAAAAAATTCCATCTTTTGCGCCTGATATTGATTCTTGCTCTTCAGAGGAAACGGGTGGGGCCGCCGCGGGAGTTGTAATTAATTAGGATTTACGTCCGGCTGAAAAATTAACGAGCAGAGAGACACGAGGCCATAAATATTTCGCCGTTTTCTCGCGTCTCATTATTAAATTCGCAGCTTCATCATCGTCTCTCTCTCGTCCCACATAATATATAACCATGCAGTCAAACTAAACGAACCCGCTCCCTTTTTTGTTCATCCCTGTCTGGTAGGCGTGAATTTATTCATACACGCGGCCGACGGCGTTTATTTCCACTCAGTCCACCAGGCGTGACTTTGAAATGGAAATACAGTCTCTCTGTTTCACGACCGAATTCCAGTTGGCTACAAAGCACACATGGAAAGGATTTGAAGAGAGGGACAGAGAGCCACGTGGAACATGATATGACGCTAAAATTGGAGCGAATGTGATATATACGTTTTGCTGGGATTTTGTCCATACATTTTTACAGTTTATTATATCTTTTTTAAATACAAAGTGAATAAACTTCAGGACTATGTATTACAAAACAAACAAGAGGGAAAATCAAAAGCTGGATTTGTCTGGAAATATTTTCAAGCATTATTAAAACTTTTGAAACGCAATTCAAAAGCAATCTGCCAATATGTAAATTATAAATAAGAAAAAAGGAAATTTTATATGAAATACCCTGATAAATTTGCCAGAAACAATGAGGCAGAGGAAGTTCACGTCTAAAATACGAGAAACAAGCCAGTGAACGAAGATGACCTTCACATACCCCCAGTGACACTAAACTTGACAGCGCAAAATCCGGCGGTCATGATCGCTCGAATTTATAACCACTTGCCTGCCGAGTTAAAACAAATTGACGATCAAAAGACATTCACCCTGAAACTGAAACAAGTGCTAAGTGAACACAACTTCTATGACATACACGAATACTTACTGTGCAGTTTTGACAAGTGAAATTTATTATTATTATTTATTCTTCTCGGTCAATACAAAAATTTTAAATTGGAAAAAAGAGAAGAAAGGGTTTACAACTAGCAGATGTCTGCTAAAACGCCCGACATCAAAAGAGACACGGCCGCCGCGGTAAACCCACACTATCGCAAAAAAAGAACGATATCACAAACACTTTAAAATCTTCATCTTGAATTACTGCCACAAGTGCTCCTTGCAGAGGGAGGGAAAATTGCTTGAGGGACAGTTTTTAAGGGCAGGTGGCAGGTCGTTCCAAGGCTTGACTATCCTGAAGGAGAAAGCGCCGCGACCGAACTTGTTGTTGGCCGAGGGTGGCTGGAGGCGGGGGTCCTGTTTGTCGTCACCTCTCAGCTTACGACCCGTTACAATTCGGGCGCGCGCGTCAAAGTCCGTCTCGCCGCTCAGGCACTTTTTGAAGAAGTAGAGGTCGGTGTACCTGAGGTGCATGTCAATGGGCATAATTCTCTGCTCAATTGGCGGCGGAGGGGTGCGGCCGTAGATGAAGTGCAGTGCCCGATTCTGCACTCGGTTGAGTTTGTTGACGTTCTCCTGCAACGTGGGGTGCCACGCAGGGAGACCGTAAGTCATAGTTGGCTTGATGAGCGAGAGATACGCAATTCTTTTGACGCGGGGGGTGCAGCCGCGCAAGTTTCGGGCCGCAAAACCGAGAGATTGGGACGCCTTGCTGCACACAATGTCCGTGTGGACCTGCCACCGGAGATCCCTCGAGATGTGGACGCCGAGCATTCGCTCCTTGTCCACGAACTCGAGCACCGATTCACCGAGGTTGTAGACGAACTCCAACCGATCGCGCGCGTGAGAAATGTCCATCACTTTGCACTTTTTCGCGTTAAGGCTCATTCCGTTATTTGAACACCACACGTCAATGTTGCACAGATCTTCCTGCAGCTCGTCGGCGTTTTCGGGAGAGTCGATTTCCATGTAGATGGTCGCGTCGTCGGCGTACTGAACCAGGGTGCTGTTGCCCACGACCTCAGGGAGGTCAGCCACGAAAATGTTGAAGAGGAGAGGCCCCAAAACACTGCCCTGAATTACTCCAGACGAGACCTCACAGGGCTCGGATTGTGCGCCATTGAAGGAGACGAACTGAGTTCGGCCGACGAGAAAATTTTCCACCCACTTAAGCAGCCGCCCTTTTATGCCGTAGTGGGCGAGCTTTGAAAGGAGCCGTGCGTGCGGCACCCTGTCGAAGGCCTTGCTCCAGTCCAGAAAAACTGCATGAATGTGCGCACCACTTGTCTTGTCCAGGGTTGCCGTCCATTTGTCAATCACACCTGTCAAGAGAGTTGTGCAGCTCCGTTTTGAGCGAAATCCGTGTTGGCACGCAGGAATTAAACTTTCTCTTTCCAGAAATTGGGAAATTTGGTCTCGCGCTAATCGGGAAATTTCTCGCGCTAATCTTATAGTTTTTTCCCTTTGCCCTAAGCAACGGGTTTTTTTTCTCTAAATTTTAATTTTAGACCTGACATGTTCTAAAGACTGCTGTTAATATTCTTGTCTAACAGAACAAAAAAAATTGAATTGAATTGAATAAGAATAAATAATACAATAGGCATGTGTATTTTTGACCATTACATTATGTGCGTTTTAATCATAAACAACAAATATTACTTTGCAAGAAATGGTCTGGTTTGCATTGAGCTTATATTTAATATCTTTCCGTTGCCACGGTGAAGGGAGTATTTTGGTATTTTTTGTCGCTTCACCGGCGCCGATTATTAATTCGAAATTGCGTTCACTCACAGCGCAAGCAAAAACACTACACGTTATTAATTTCTAGAGCGCCCTTTGTGCGGCGTCTGAGCATTTTTTTAACGTGCAGAATTAAAAATTCATTCCAACGGTGGCGCGGAAAAATGCAAAAGCAAAAAGCACCGACGCGATTATTAAGTGGACGAGTGCGCGAGCGTCGCGGTACCCATTGCGCATTTTTCATCACTCGTTTATTCAGCCGCTTTGTTGTTGTTGTTGTTTTTGTGTTTTTTGCGCCGCCGCGCGTATAATTCATTATGAAAAAGTAAGTGGTCCGAATGTTGCAGCTGAAAAGGAGCGGCCGAGCGCGGCTCTTTTTTTAATCGTGGCTAAGCCTGCGAAAGTCCGCGCGGAAAAACGATTCCGTGGAAAAATGCTGATGGTTTATTAATGAAAGAGATAAAAGATTTGCAATTCTGCAGAACGTTCTACCTTGTTTGAAGAAGTTGACACTCGAGGAGATGATCATGGAAATGAAGAGATCGGGCTTTTCCTCGTTGCAGAAAAATTATTTATTGTTCAAAAAGAAATGGCTCTTTTGTTTTTGCCATTTGTTTTTGAAAAAAAAAAACAATTTTCTGCAACGAGGAAAAGCCCGATCTCTTCATTTACAACGTTCTTCTTTTATAATAAAAAAACTCTAGTGGAAAAAGTGTTCAAGATAATTGAATATCCTCTGATCCAAATAATAATTCTATGCTATTATTTCTTAAAGTGGTTGTTGTGGAACCTTTTGGCACTCGAGGTTGATGAAATAAAATCCTTGGTGAAGATCAGGAGAAGATGAGAAACTTTTTGTTTCTGCCTGATACAGAAAATCCCTGCTCTACTAGTTTCGGTTGCGGGTTGCAACCCTAATTCATGAGTTCTTTTCTCGTCGGAAGACAAAACAAAACGTTTCGTTTTCGTTTTGTTTTGCCTTCCGACGAGAAAAGAGCTCATGAATTAGGGTTACAACCCGCAATCGAAACTAGTAAAGCAGAGATTTTCTTTATCATGCAGAAACAAAGTTGCCCATCTTCACCGAGGAAGCCGGATTTTATTTCATCAGACAAATTATTATTGTTGTTTATTTGTCCAAATTGTTACGTCACATCATTTACATTCAATTCAAATTTAATTATTTATTTAATTAATTAATAATATATAATTATAATTAATTTTATAATTTATCCAAGCTTTTAACGTCATAAATCTTTTTGAAAATGTGCGAAGAAAGTCTAATAAAAATATCTAATCGAGTATTTTTTATCTCTTTCAGACTTTTTTTGTAACAGCCGAATTTTCGGTAACAAAATAATAATTTTAATAAACATGAATATAGTCACATTTTGTCGATTTAAAAAGAATCCAAGTGTTGACCAATTTAGAAATTATTGAATATAAAAAAAATGCGGCAAAACTCTTAAGAAGTATTATCAAAATTAAATTCTACGACAACGAATTTATTTAAAATTTTACTAGGCCTTCAAAGCAGCCATAAATTGCAACCGGCTTTTTGTGGTAGCTGCTCTGCGGAAAAACTTCCGGTGCATCATACGGTTACGTGAATTTGCACAAAGCTGAGGGCGAGCGTGTGCTTTTGTTGTCTGAAAGACGAATGGCATTTTGCATTTGGCACCGTGAAAACAAACATCACCCGCGCAAGGGTTGTTTGTTTGCCTGCCGCACCCTAACAACGATGATGGATGCAGCTACCCCATGAATATTGTTCACTGACCATCCATCCCTTTGTTTCTGAAATTAAAATTTCGGCCATTGTTTCTGTTTAGCAAAAAACCGCAAAACCAGAAAATGAGCGAGCGACTAAACAAAAATAAAAATCGGGCCTGAATGTTTTTTGATGGGAACTAAACAAAACAAAAACTTTTGCACACATACAGGTTTATTTTTACCAATTTTCCTCATTCATTTCAAATTATTTTAAAAGGCCATCTCCAGTAACGATTTTTATTTTTGAATTCAAGAGAAGAAAAAATTTCATGACTGCAATCAAAATCGCGATTGGAAAATTTTGCACTCATAAGGGTCAAATATGAAATACTTACATTACCACGCCCAAATCACTTGAAACTTGAGGGTGATAAATCACTAAATTAATCGAGATTAAGCATTTAGATATTAAGATCAAATGCTTTTGGGGGGAAAAGGTGAATCTTAAGAACATGTTTTAGCTCTTTGGAGTGCGAATTTTTTTATTTTGATTTCATCTGTTAATTTATTGTCATTTTTAAATCAAGAACGAAAACCTTTACAGGAGAGGGCCTTTAAATTTACATTTATTCAAAACAATTATCGTTGCTATAAAATAAAATCTTCTCTGAGTCCCGCTAATTAGAGGGCAAAAATAATTAGCTCTTGAGACGCAATTTCAAAAGAAATGAGATTTCTTCTCAGGAAATTGAGTGAGTGACAATAGAGGCAGACAGAGAGAAAGAAAAACCGCCATTGCGGTCTCGCGAATATAAAAAGCGACCGCTGTCTCTTGGCTTGGGCTCCTTTTTCCCGCTGCAGCCACATCAAAGAAGCCGCCAAGTGCATTTCCCTCCAGCGACCTCATTGTTTACTGTGCACTTGAGGCGCGAGCAAGAACGGATTGCGAAGCTTTTCCACCCGCGCTAATCCCTTTTCCACTCTCATTTGCATCTCGCGACATAAAAAAATTTGTGAAGGGATTTATGGCTGGAAAACTGCACTCGGGTGCCATTTTCTCGGATAATGCGCTTATCAAAGATCTTTTGATAAAATGTGTTTTAAATGCGATCAATCAGTTCTACTTACCATTGATCCGTTGGTGAAGCAAACGCCTTTTGCCGAGCAGTCCTGAGCGTCGCCGCAATTGTCAGACTTGACGACCACCCGCAGTCGAACACAACGCTCGTCCAGCCACTTCGTTGACACAACTGTTAACAGTGAGGAAAATGATTCAATCAAAACACTATTTGGTATACAATTTGTACCTCGGTAAAATTACAAGAAACGAAAATTTAAACATTATTAATCTTACAAGTAGTTTGATTGGAGATAAAGCGAAATAGTATCTTTTTTTGAGAAAAAAATCAAAGTTTTATGCAAAAAAATTAGTTATAAAATTAATCTTACAGTAATTAAAATATATCAGTGTAAAACGGTCCTAATTTGTGAAGGGATGTTGAATTTTCGTAAAAATCACAAAGAAATATAAATTTATCTTAGGTACATTATTATAATTGTTGTTAGTATTGTCAAACCAACAAACTTTAATAGTTTAAACGTTAAATTTCAAAATTTATTTAAAAAAAAAAAAACAAGAAATTTGTAAATAAAGTAGAAAAAAATATTCATTTTCAATTCATTCTCTCACAACAGGCCAAAAAAGGTTGTTAGGAGGGTTCATTAATGAGAAAATTGGCAGCCAGCCCTAGTAAACAACTTACTAAAACTCATAGGCTCAATCTTAAAGCAAGTGTTTCTAAATTAAATCTACTTGCCAAGCTGGAGAGGAAAAATGGGGGAAAATAAAAATCTTTAAAATGCGTTTTTTATTGAATAAGTCCAAAAAAGGTGATTTTTAGTCGCACATATTTTGAATCAGGAAGTCACACAAAAAATTTTCACAGTGAATTTTAGAGAGAGGAAATAATCACATCAGACATTAATAATATTTAAAGCGTCAAAAACTTATTACAACTGACAATAAAAAAACATTAAGATGAGAAGAAGATGTTATTCGGAATTAAATAAATTCAGATACAAAAATTACAAAAAATTATTCTGTAAGAATCAATTTTCCGGCGTTGCTATTTTATATTTTAAATTGACAAGTTGCGATTGGGAGCGAGAGGTCATCAACTCGAATCGCCCCAGGTATAAAGTTGAGCGGAATTCGCGTCGTTATGTCGAGTTCTCACACTCTGCCAGCAAATCTCGCTGTAAATACTAACGAGTGTTGCGAGTGCATCGCCGACTTTCTGTATAAGCTCTCTCTCTCTCACTTACTCTCCCGGACGGATAATTGACTGCCGTCGCTGTTTATTCTGCAATTCTCAGGATGCACCCGCTAGCGTGACACACTTTCAAACTTGAGGCAAAACTCGTAAGCGTCTGAATGCGCCAGGAATTAACTTGGGCGAGGCCTCTTGCTGCCGGCATAAATAATCAGGGCGTAATGTTAATTGCAATGAATGAAAACTTCTCGAGCGGATGCGCGCGAGCCCAGGATGAGCTATGCAACTCGCAAGTCACGCTGATGATGCGGATTGCATCCGTTTTTCACGTATGAACTCCACCGAATAGCAAGAAGAAATTACGAAAAGTGCATCCCATAAATACCTGAGGCGGCAGAGATTAACTTCAAAATGTTGTCATAAAAACGGGCTTTATCCTTCGCATCAAAAAGCTAAATTTGAAAGAGATAAAAATTTTCCAAAATAAACTGAAATTAAAAATGCCTAGATTTAAATTTTTTTATTGAAACAAATTTTATTAGCTGAGAATAACACAAATTCAAATAAGGATGAAGTACGTTTTTCACTCCATGAAAATTTTATCTAAAAAGTCGGAAATTTCATCACTCGGTTACTGCTGGAAAAAAAAAATTAAACGGATTCTTCTCATTAGAAAGATTGTCTATTTTACCAAAAAATTAATATTACATCAAAATAGCTAGTTTTGTTTATTTCACAAAAGAAGAAAATTTCAAGCATTTGCAATACATTTTTATAAACTCTAATTTAATTTTAAAATTCTTGAAACATGATAAAAATGATGATTTTTTAAATAAAGTTGAACCCAAAAATAAAAATAAAAAAAATAATAATTGGGTGGCGCCTTCCGTACCACCAATAAAGGGCACAGGCCGACAAGACTTTGTCTTGGCCTGACCCTAAAAAAAAAAAAAAAAAAAAAAAAAAAAAAAAAATAAATAAATAAATAAATATTTAATTTCATTTAAAAAAATCATATTCTGCCTTTTTAATGATATTTTCTTAATTAAAAACAGAGAATATAAGGAAAACTTTTATACTTAAATTTTGACCTAATTTTTTCTAGCGCTTGGCAACTGGCTTTATTTGGCTCTTCCCTTATTTTCTTGCTACTTTCGATGCGCATCGCCTGCTTTTCACCGACTTTCTGTCTCCCTGCCCTTCGACGCCGGCCAATTTGCAATCAGCAAACTTTGTCGCGCGCGCAAATACGGTTACCACAGCAATCGATTCAGTTCCCGAAGCCGTGGAGCGTCCTTGGGTGGAAAAAAAGAATCATCGGCGCCGCACGTGGCCCGAATGCTGTGGAAGCGCTTTGCTTTTGAATTCCTCGGGCGGAAATTTCCATTGTGCCCGGCGCGGTGACTGATTGTGTTGTATTGTTCGAGCCGAATAAATACACACAGCGCCGGAAAAGCGGCGCCCGCTTTTCCACCCGAATTGGCTCCGTCCGCCGCGACAGAGTAATCCAAAGCTGCTCTGAATTTCGAAAGCTCTTCTTTGAAACCGGATATATGTGCTGGTCGATTTTTATTTCCATTCGCTGCTTTTGTTTGTTTGTCGGTTCGTCTGGTCGTGGATGATTAATCGACTCCATGCACCTGAGTGGAAGAGACGGACAATGGCAGAGCCAAACACGTCTATCATAAAAGAGTGTCTGTGGTGTTCATCAAACGGAAATGAGATTTTTTTTGTTTAGTCTATAGACAGAGATATGAATAAGAGATGTTAAGCAAAGTGCACCGTCACTAATTTTGGAAGAGTAATCTTTGAATAAAGAACCTTGTACACAAAACACAAATTTTATATATGACTTTAAATTTTGTCCGTAATATGTTAGGCTTTTTATTTATTGTAGTGTTGTACTGTTTGAAAATTTTTACTTTACGCTAGTTCCATAAGGAATTAAAGCACTTGTGATTTTTTAAGAACAAATACAAAACAATAATTTAGTTACTGAAGTGTCTTGTTTAAAACAGGCAGTTTTCCTTAAAAAATTAATGCTGCGTCAAAAGTTTTAGTAAAAAAAGACATCATTCTTCCCTTTATTGGAAAATAATACTTGCTATTACTTCGATTTTTTATTACTATTCATTAAGTCCATTCCTGCCAAGATCCATTCGGTGCTTATCGGCTGTAAAGCCTACGTATGAAATCAACACATTTTTCCTAAAATAGATTGTAGCTGGGAATTTTTTATGAACTAACATTTTGAGCCTATAAGAATACGTATTTTGTTTGTAAAAAGGAAGACTCTTTACAACAGTTAACGCATTTTATTAATTACCATTTCCTAGTGATTTCACACAGTTAAAGTTGAAGCTTTTATTTCAAAATAGGATTGAATGTTTCATAATTTTTGTTGAAGTTTTTGGCCTTATTTCTTATTTGAGATGAGACACCCCGATTTCAATGACAATTGGTGTACAACTTTTACTTTTGCCAGCTATTCCAGAAACCTCGGGGTGTGTCATCTCAAAGACATACGAAATTTTTCATAAATTTTTGAGCATGAAAAGAGGTATTAATGATACAGCTAATTTGCAATAATGGCATTTTAATTCCCGTTAGTTCCTAAAACAAACACAACGGAAATGAATTTCCATATAAAACGATTGGCCATTCATTTTAATGGCCGTACCCAAAAGGGGATCGCGCATTGCAGCAGCCAGAATTTCAATTTGCAGTTTTTCACGGGCGATCTCGCCTGTCGATAAATATATATTCGGGCCCTTTTCCCAACTGCTGGGCAATAAAATTTAATACTTCCGCCGAGGCCGATCTTGGCGCCGATCAAATGAAGGGTGCCCTCGAACGCCCTCGCGTTATTATTTTATTCCGGCCCCATTAATAAATTGCGCGAGAGATGGAAATCGCGTGCATTTATATTATGAGGTCGCGCGCTCTTCGTGTATAATTTCTGCTGATGAGAAAGGTTCGGCACACCGCGCTCCTCTCCCACACATTCACAATTCACGCCACGCGCGCCTCAGGCGCGTTCGCGTTCCGCATCGTGCGAATTTAATTTATGCCCGACCTGCGCGAATTTCCAGACGACGTAGGCGGAAAGATTAAATCAATGTGCTGCTTCAGCGTTTTTTCCGCTTTCAATTAACTTAACACGCGTGGAAATTATATAAAAAAAAAAAATTATTGATGACGAGTGACCTAAATTGACACAGAAAATTAAGTAGACAAATTTAGGTCAACAATTTATTGAAAATTTCATTTTCTATAAAATTAATTATTATTATTATTTTAAACATGCCATCATTAATATTTTTATTACCGTTGTAAAAAAATCAATATGAATTCAAAATATAAATAATTCACGGAAACATAAAGAAAATAATACTGCTTTAAAAAAAGTTCTACATTGATGAAACGTATTAAAAATAAAATGGAAAACCACATTTAAATTTAATAAAAATATAATCTACTTAATTTTGCAACTAAAAAACAAATTCGAGCAAATTGACTAATTTAAACTAAATTTTTGGTACGTCAGAATTTGAACATTAGCAACCTTCTGAAAATGAGGAAAATGCAATCAAATGTGACAAATTTGGACTATTTTAATGAATATGTAAATCTTTGGAACAATTTTTAATGCATAAATATCAAAAATATTATTCATTACGAGCGCTGAAAATTATAAATGTTATCTTCACACTATATATTGATCATATGTGGATCATTTGATCAGTTTTCACTTTTCTGGTGAATATAATTTTAAGAACAATTAATTAAGCTTGATTAAATATTTATTAATAATAATTCTCTAGACCAACTCGAAGCAATTTAAATTTCACACAAATATTTAATTAACATTTTAGTAAATTTAAATTTTTTCCCAATTTTTACCATTTCCACATTTCTAAAGGAAATCCAATTCTAGCGCTGCCGACTTTTCCAACCCACACGTCTGCTCAGGATGTGCAGAGAGCAATCTTTCCGTCAGATTTGCCCTTGCTCGCGCCGTTCTCCTATCGAGAAATCCATTCCCTCATGCAAAATAAACGTATTGATTGGAGGAGACGCTCTCTGCGTATGTTCAAAATGCACAGAGAACTAGCTCGAGGCTATTCAGAGACGCAGAATAGTACAAATATATAATTCTCGGCACAAAGACGTGACGCCGCCGGCAGAAGGCACAAGAGCGGCCGGCGCTGCTCAAACAAATTTCTGTCGATGAACTCCGGCCGATATTTCAATAAATGGGAAGCACACTCGACGGCGTCGGCAACCCATCCAAACGACACGTTTGTGACTTTAAAGGACATGCAAATAATAATGACGTGTGTGCTCTTATGATAATACGGTTGGTTTAAAAAGATATGGAATAAATTGTTCAAGCAAATAATGTTTTTCTTTGTTTGGTGTGATTAGTGAAAGAGGATTCAAAATTTTCTTAATTTGGCAATATTTCCAGGTTATAATTGCAGTTTAAAATTTGAATTTGAATTTTTTTTTTAAATCCGGCTTCCTCGGTGGAGATGAGCAACTTTATTGTTTCTGCATGGTACAGAAAATCCCTGCTCTACTAGTTTCGGTTGCAGGTTTGAGCTGTTGAAATGAAATAAGCTGACGTTTAACCAATTGTAATTAAATTTTGAAAAATTATAATGCAAATTATATTCAAAATTTTTTAAATTAAATTTATTTATTTATTTATTTAAAGTTTTAAATTACAATATTTTTGGAAATGAAGCGATCGGGCTTTTCCTCGTTGCAGAAAATTGTTTTTATTCAAAAACAAATGGCTCTACCAGTTTCGGTCACGGTCAGCGACCCTATTTCATGAGCAAGAAAAATTTAATCATGTCGTTGACTTTGACGGTGTTAAAGTGATTCACTTTGAGTCAAACTGGAAACAGAGAATCGCGGCGGAGAGCATGGCAATGGTGCGCAACAGTTTCAGAAAAATCTGTTGAAGTTCTATTGTTAAGCGGATCATTTAACAATTTCTTGAAGTGTAATTTTTATTGGTTTTATTTATGATAATTTATTGTTCTCGCTCAATACAAAAAATTGTATACTGAAAAAAAGAGAGAGAAGGTTTACTATAATATACGAAACTGTCAATCGCTTAGTAAGTGTGCCAGAAGGCCACTCAAAGCGAGCGCAAATTTTTTCTCCTCTTTGAAATGAGCAGCGCTAAAAGTCATTTTCCGAAACGTCAAACACGGACGCTTATTAACTTGCCTGAGTGACGTTCCCGTTTGACGTTTTTCGCCTCTTTTTCTCTCTCTTTCGCGCCGATATTGGGCCGAATAATTTACCAATAAAGAAATAATCGCGCGCCTCGCCGGCGGCGCCGAATTCATATTCATAACGGCGTCGACGCTTTTTTATTGGAATTTTTCCACAAAGCACCTTTTGATGAGCGAGTGACAAAAGACGGCGGCGTCTCTCTTTGTGAGCGCGCTTGGAATTTTAAAAAGTTGCCCCTTTTGTGCGCTCGCGTTCTCATCTCTCTTTGATTTGCGCGAACGAATTCCAGCGAATCGAACGATTCGAACGAGAAATTTCTCATTTCCATTCTCTGTTGGAAAAATGAATTTGCTCTCTCGCGGTGAGAGAGAGAAAAGAAGGTGGCCTCCTTTCGTGGACTTAATCAGGCCAAGGGAAGAAGTATCCGCTGGCGAGGAAGAACAGAAAAGGAGAAAAAGAAGAGGCCGGCCTGGATGTGCTGCAATTAATTGCGCTCGGCCAGAGATGAAAAGGAAGGAAAGAGGAGCCTGCAAATCCCCTTATTGGGCGGAGGAGAGGGATAAGAGGGGCTTTGATGCAACACCGCAGGGGAAATTGCATCTTGTGATGATCTGACGCGTCCGCTTCAAGGGAAATTGATCAACCTGAATGCACAGTTGACAACAAAAACAACATGAAGTTTGTGCATTGAAAACTCATAAATTATTTTTCTTTTAAAGATCTATACGAAAATAAAAATTATCAAACAAAATTTAGACAAGAATAAATTATTTAAGGTGAATTATTAGATTTCTTTGAAATTTGAAATTACTTTTGTTGGCACATTTTCAAACATAAAAGTTTTGAAGAAAATTAAATTTACATTAAAAAATAATAGGTAAACAATCTTTTTATTTTTACCGATCGCACAAATCAAGAAATAAATTAATTTCTAGAATTTGGAGACACAATAATTGTTAAAAAGACTTAATTTATTGCTTTAAACCACTTGAAATGGGAATTTTGAAGCTAAAAATTGAGCCAAAAGCAGAAAATTAATTTTATTTCAAGTTACTTTTTATTTATTGCAACCTGATATTATTGACAAAATCAAGGACAAATTAAACTTTATTGTTTCAAATAGAAGTGGTATCTGTTCTTATAAATCGTGTCAACAGCAGGTAATCAATTCTTTTTAATGTAGTATGGAGAGCAATTTCAATATGAATGGAAATGGAAAAAATTTGCAATTCAGCAAACTTGTGCGCACATCTGCGTGCACAAGCTCCAGTTTTCTTTCCTCTGTGGATTATTATTGTTATTTGCACACGTATTGTGTGTCTGGCAGTATTTCACATATCTCTCACCTCCTTTTTGTCCTTCACAAAGCGACTGGCTGATCAAAAGCACACCCGGATGCATCTCTCACCTGCGCTTGTGTGAATTGCAACAGAGGCGCGACCTACGGGGCAAATTTGCACGGCACGTGCGGCGCAAAGGGATTTGAAGAAACTTTTTCACGCGCTGCATGCAGATAGCAGCGAGCGAGCAAGAGGAGCAGCGAAGGGAAACAAACGAGCGAGTCTCGCGCTGCATCTTAATCTGGTACACGAAGTAGAGGGCAAGTTTTGAGCGAGCGCGATTTACATCCAGGTCGGCAAGAGAAGTGCTTTGTGTCGTCAAGCATAGAATATTGTCTCGGGATTACTTTAGTTTTATAATTTCAAAAGTAAATAATGTCTTTAATTGGAGGCAAGAAAGTTCAATTGTGGTTTAGAATAATTATGTAGGTAAAAATTAGAATTTCATGAACAGTTTGAGTGAAATTAGCTATGAAAAAATTAAACATTAAACTGATTTTAGTTAATTTTCATTAGATTATAAAAATTAATATATATCTTTTTATTAAAAAATTTACCATAATATCGGATAGAGATATGGTAGGATAGCTGATTAAGAGTAAGTAGAAATTTTCCGTTTGACAAATATCTCTACAATTATTTTTATTCAATATATTCGTTGAAAAATTACATACTGAACTTCATTCATTAAATAAATATTTAAAATTTTTTATTTTAATATTGAAAAAAAAATTAAGTCAAATATAAAATTAAAATACTAAATTAATTCCAAGTTTTAAAACAATTTGCTTTGACAAACTTCAAAAATTGAACAAAATTTTAGAAACACTCACCTATAAGCAGATTGATGCCTTCGGTGAGGTCTTTGTCATACAGGGTGACCACCTGGCGGCCGTCGACCTGCAGGGGTGTGATGTCCAGCAACACGCCCTCGGTGGCGTCGCAGTGCTCGTAGCCGAGACGCGTCACCTGCGAAAGCAAATTGAGGTTGAATAGCGACTGCCGAATTTCATGCACGAAAGACGCCTTTGAGGAGAAACTGGACCAAAAGAAAGTCTGGCTATAGCGCGCAGTTCGAGTGTGAAAACTTTGCCAGGGCGCGCGATTTCGGCCTTTCGCGCTCGGCCGTGCGGAACGTCGGTGGGAGGAAATTTGCGGCAAGAATATCCAACTGAGCGACAAGTAAAGATAGGTCGGAAAGCTTGAACCTTTTGGCGGTTTGAGAGATAAGGAAGAGCGATTTTTGAATTGTCTGGATTTGTTTTCTGAAATTTGTGTCACTCGCTTGGAGGAAAATGGGGCTCTAAATTCCTTTCTTTTAAATCGGATTTCAATTTCAGAAACCTTTTGTAAAAAAAGGTTTAAAAAAGTTCTACTCATATGTCATTTCATGAGATAGTAGTTCAAGGTTCCCAATCTTGACCTACGAGCTTTAGTGACTTGTTCACCAGGATTGGCTGCCGATTCTCTACAAATGTAATTTTATTAATTGCCTATAAAATTTTTTTGTATTTTATTTTGACTTGTTATGTAGAGAATAAAACAAATTGAGATACTGTTTAATTTTTATTCAATTTTTTTTCATTGGAGGGATAAACAATTAAAAAAGCTAAATTGCGTTGTTCAGGATGCATTTTTATTTTTACAAAGCCTTTGGTTAGGCTGCTTTTCAACCTTGTTCAACCTGTGTTTAGCACAATTTGAACCGTTAGAAACCACTTGCACACACTTGCAAAAGTAAACTAAATATTAATAAATTTCATTTTTAAAACATTCATCATTATGTTTTTCCCTCTTTAAATGTGGTAGTTCAACAAGTTCTAATCGGTTCTAGTTTATTTTTTAACAGATGATGTTTTATTAATAAATTATTATTATTATCAAAAATTTTAATAATCTAAAATCAATAAATTTGAGTTGCTTTTGATAAAAAGCCTAATTTACAAATCAGGCTTTTAATCAAGTATGGTAAGCAGTACTTGAAATTAACTTAAACATGAATTCTAAAATAAAATAAAAATTCCTAAAAAAAGGAAACGATCCAATAAGATGCGATTTTTGACATTTTTTAATCACGTTTCGCTGATTAATTTTTCGATAGATTGATTAAGTAAAGCATTAGTGACATTTTTATACCCAAATCTTACACTATAGTTTTGTTTTATTCCAATATAAAGACGAGTGTTCAAATCTAGCAAAAAAACTCAGAATCAAGTTGTGGGTTTATCGAAGGAATTTATCTTCGACAGTTTCACCCATCAGTGCTTTCGTTGGCGCCTCTAGCTTTCTTTTCTTTTCTTTCTTTCTTTCTCTCTTTGGTTTTCTTGGAACGGCAAAAAAGTGAGTAAGGAAACTGAACGATGCTTGTCGTCGTTTCCAAGTAATTCGGGCAAAAAACTTCGGCCCACGTGTAAACTGCTCGGCATGGAAAATTCGCAAAAGAAAGGCACTTTGTCTGGCGGCGCCGGAAACGCAAATAGCGCGGAAGTAAAAGACTTTGATGTCTCGCTGGCGACAAACAAGAAGAATAAATCCGTTCCAGGGCACAAATCAGTCTGGTGCGAAATTCTGCCTAGCCCAGAATGTAAATATCCGTGCTGGCATCAGGGTGGGCAAACACAGAGCGGCTGCTTTGATCAGTTTGCTCTTCAATAATTCATGCCAGAGACTGACTAGCCAGTTTGTATTCTTTTCTACCAACTGATGTGCAAATCACTGCCACTTTGAGTTGTCAAAAGGCAACTTCTAAGATATACAGAGGAATAGCAATGGAAAAAGAGATTAACATTTTAAATGTCTTTCTATAAAATTTTCCTTCCACTATAGGTTGAACTTTGTCCTTTTGCTGCTTATAAATCATAAACTTCAGTCCCTGTAACAGCAAAATCCCTCTCAAAAATTATCAGATCGATTAGTCATTAGTATATATGGAGGACCATCAGACTTGTAAGAACCAGAAAGATCTTGCAAAATTTTTTCATTCATCATTTTTAATTATTTAAGCCTTATCCTAGATGAACTCCAATTTTTATAAACACCAACATGATCCTTGGTAATTAAGCCATATATAAACTGGCCTGAGAAAACTGGGGGGTCACCGGGAAATGATAAGAAAAGTCCAGAATTTCTGTTTTCTTCTTCTTCTTTTTTTTAAAGTATTTCCTTAAATTTATGGCTTTTTCTTACTTTCGTTTTGAGAAAATAAGCCATTAATTAACTTTGGCAAAAATTTATGACCTAGATTGAATTTTGTCTCATTTTAGAATTCAAAAATGAGTATTTTTTTTTTAATAAATTTTCACTTTTAACAAAACAACGATCCGCTTGGGTGAATTTAATTACAAAACTTCACGAGCCACTGACCTGATAGACGGAGAAGTCTGGTTGTCTGCGTCTGTGCTGACCGTCCGTGTCCACATCCATGGGTGGTTTGCGCGTCCTGTTCCGGGCAGCCGCCTCGAGGGGTGCGTCGTCAATTTTCACGAGCAAGACGTCGCCTGTCTGCACCACCGACGTGCCAGACCACGCGTTGTCCTCATTCACTGGCTCACCCTGCCAAACAGAACAAGAAAATTTCATTAGATCCAAAAAGAAAAACTGCATTACTATATAAGGTCGGAAAAAACGGGGTTTTTTTTAATTTGAACTAGTAAGATAAACAAATTCCATTTATAAAAATCAATTTTTATATTAATTTTAGTGAAATTGTGTATTTTTATTTTATTTGAATGGCGTAGAATCTTGTTATGGAAATTTTTTCTACTTTTGCAAAAAATTTAAAAACTTTTGGCAAGTTCGTGTCCAAAATCAATTTAATAAAAACAAAATTGAAGTTTAAAGCAAATAAGAACAACAATTTCTGATTTCTAAAGTTTACAACCTCTTTATTAAAAATTATATCTGTAAATTAAACTCCTTTTTTGATTTAAATATCTCCAACATTGAAGAACAACTTTTATCTGTCTGTCTGGAGCACGCACCAACACATGTTAGGCCCGAAGCGCGAAATCTTTTTCTTTCAAACTTGCAGCACCATAAAGTTGGCGTCTGTTTTCTGTTTGAGCAGTTTCGGTTGTTTCGCCCGCGGAGCAAACAAGCGGCGAGAGTTGCGCCGAATTTAATCCGCTCGATATCGCCTCGCAAAATACACTTCTTGGTATCATAATAATCGTCGTTCGCAAGATGGGGGTGGCGAGAACCAGGCGCAGAATGCGTGCGGTGCGCGGCGTCAAAAGGCAGCGAAATTGGCTGGATTAAGAGTGAGTTTGAGCGCTTTGGCAATCAGGATATTCAGGATTACACGTGGGCGCGTAAATAGAAGTGCGTCAAAATTTCCGCAACTTCGTTCACATACAAGGAAAATTCAAACCCACCGCTTTAATGGGTTCTGAGTATTCTTAAGAGCTTTCTGGAGAGAAGTTTGTTGCAAAACTTTTCGCACATCTTCTCCTTTTGCTGCAGAAGCATTTAAAAGAAATTGTGTTCTACACATTTTTCTATACATTTTCTTAAAAAAATTATCTCGGAAACTATTATGTTAAAAAAGTTTTATATTTGAGCTCAATTTATTTTTATTGATTGTTTGGAATAATTTTAATAGCATGTTATGAGGGTAATTTTTCAACAAAAAGGGCAAAAGAAGATTCTTCTTATTATTATTTATTTAATTTCAAATTCAAATATTCTATATTTTGTTTTTGGCATTAATTTGCAATAGCAATAACACTTTTTAAAACAAGTCAAGATACGAAGCATAATTCAAACGGTTAAATTCGTTTGTCATAGCACAAAAGCTTTCACTTCCTTTGTCGCAAGTTTCTCGTCATTTTTGAGGAGTTTTAAAGTTATTTGGCACCGCATTGGGATCATAAAATCATGGATTTTCTACAGACTTTTTGAGAGAAATTTCCCTGACCTGTAGGTCATTTAGACACAAATCGGTTTGATTATGTCGTGTTACCCTCCTCAGATCAGTACTATCGCCATATTTTCGAAAGAGGTGACGATTCCGCACAAGGAATTTAATATATTCTGAAGACTATTCTAGCGTTCTAATTATTTTAAGCCTAGGCAACGAGAATTAATGCACCGGTCTAAATGTCCCTTAATTCAGCTCGGCATTCTCTGGAGTCGTATGGGATAATTAAGTGCGTTGGTGGTCGGCCGGCTGACGTGCCGAATCCCCTGGCCAGTGGCTTAATTTGCGCGGCGAAATCCTGCACTGAGAACTAATAACGCGACGAGGTGCAAACCCTGCTTTTGTCTTCGCGCCAGGATTTGAGCCGCCTTTGTGTCCAAATGCAAACGAAGCGAGAGTGAATTAAAAAGAAGGAGAAACGCGGAAAGGTGCGGATTTTGAGAGGGTGAAAGAGGAAAAGCACTTAGGCAAATTGCACCAGACTTTGTCTCATTCTTTCGCCAGCCGTGTTTTGTTTTAAATGCACTCTGTAGGGTGAAGTTATTCTACCTGCGCTGCGAAATAATAATGGTGCAACTCGCTCGATAAAAAACTTGGAGGCAAATTTATATTTAATGAAATTAAGTTGGATTAATTGCATGAATTAAATTGATTCTGTTTATGTGCACAGAAATAATTTATCTTGAGATTTTTTTATATTTAGTGCAAATGTAATTTCGGGACGAGCAGGGTTTGTTCTTGCTCAAGAAATAGGGTCACAAACCGTGACCGAAATTAGTTGAGCCGTTTTGTTTTTTAATACCAAAATTTTTTACAAAGAAGACAAGCCCAACTTCTTCATTTCCAGTTAATAAGTTTCATTTTTTTAATGAGGACAAATGTTAGGTTTTTGACGGTTTTTTGTAGCCAAATTTTTATCTCAAAAGCAAACGAAAATTTGATAGAAAAAACCTAAATTCTGGAGAAATTGCATATTTTATACTATTTAAAGTTTTATTTAGTACAGTTCAGTTATCACAAAACTTAAAACCTCGTCTGCTTGGTTTTAGGTTTAAAAAAGTTGTAATAAATGTGATTTTCAAACTGTGAATTTTTCAGGATGGCGTTAAAAAAAAGTATTATGGATAAAGAAAAATTAAGTATTAAAGCCTAATTATTTTCTCAAAATGTTATATTTTGCAAGAACGATTTTTGATACTTTGAGTGTTTTGGCTCTTTTGATGATTTCTTCCAATTTTCTTCAATTTTGTAGTAGAAGATCACGATCGAGGGTTGATTCATGGTGATTTGAATTTAAAGTCGGCTTTTCTTCGATGGATTTTTGCGTTTTTTTATTGTTTAAGAAAAACCAATATGTAGAGCAGGATAATTGTTTCTTCTTAAACAATAAAAAATTCACAAAAATCCATCGACAAAAAGCTGACTTTAAATTCAAATCACCAGTTTTCTTCAACTCTAAATAATATTTATATGTAATTTCCAGTATTTTTACACACAAAAAACAGCCTTCAATGGATCACCTAACTCTAAATGTTCTCCGCTTCTGGGAAGTGCCAGAACAACTCATCGCAGTGACTTTTAGCTTTGTTTCGAAAGGGGTTCCCTTATCCCCGCGTGTCTCTGCGGACTCCATGATGAGAGAGTGGCAAAAACAGAGAAGAACTGCAAATCGATCGCCGAGCTGCATCACACACACCCACCACCTGACCCTTTTTCCCGCCTGACAAAAAGCAGCAGCGTCGAGAAGGATAATAATTTAATTCAAAAGCGTTGCTCGCGACACATTTGAAACGCCGAGTGTCAAATGGCCCGCAGGTCGACACTTTCTCCCCGCGAGAGAGAGGCGAGAGAGAAAAGTGACGCCGGAGAGAGGCAAAAAGTGTCACTCGCCTGCTGCTGAGCCCTCCCCAAAAGCAAAAGTGCTTTTTTCACAATGATCTCGCACCCAACGAAAACGCCACACGGAAAATTGGAGGGAAAATAATAATAATAATAATCATAACCCGGATTTTTTTCCGCTCTGATTTGCAATTTCTGGCGCGCTCGTGTGGCGAAATAATAATTCATTGTTGATCCGAAAATCAACAAGTTTGGCTGAATTTTTGCGTCATTACGGCCTCTCCCCAGAGGCGAGTGGAAATTCAATCTGCCTGCCGTGCGTACGGAGGAGTTTTGCCATCGGGAGAGAAAGTGATATATTATTTCAGGCCGGATTTTTGTTTCGGCGCCGCTCTCGTTTGCGAGCGGATCAGAGAGGCAAAATTTATTGGCGAAAACAAGCAGTTTGCTATATCAATGAGCGTTTAACGCTGCAAATTGAAAACTGGCTTCTCTCTGCGACCATAAATCAGCGTCAACTTGTATGCTTTCCCTGTCAATAAGCAAAGGAGAATTTAAATAACGTTTTTCAAGCAAAAATATTAATTAAATTAATCAATTGCCACAAAATTTTCATTTTGGGTAGAGTTGCTTGTTTAAACAACAAAATCATCATTACTTTCATTTTTGAAACAATATGTGGACCAATAAACAAGAATGATTTTTTTTTTTTGCAAAAATTCGAGATGCACTGCACACACACAATTAGGGTAAAAAAATCCTAACGTGAAAATTTGAAAATTTTTCGCTAAACCCGATTGCTAAAATAAAAAAAAATAAAAAATGGATACTATTCCCTTATTGACATGTTATTCAAAAGCTGTGTCTTTGTATACGTTAGCTTATTTCAAAATAAATTTTAATTTGAAAAAATTTGACAAATTATAAAATCATGGGGTTGTTTGTTTAAATTGAGGCTGCACATGGTATTTATTATATTAATGCTTTTACTGTTTGATAACATTTACCATGAAAATTGTACTAATCCTTGGAAAAAAGATTCCAAGATGAGCAAAAATTTTGTTAAAATAATCATTCAAAATAAGTAAAAAAAATTTGCCCAAGTGTATTTTCATTTCTTTTCTAAATAGTTATCAGTTTGTAATCAGGAATTTGAAAAAGTATCACAATTCGCAACAACCGGGACAACCAATTTATCTATTGAGATTGTTGGTGTCTAGATCACTTCCTTCCACGCAGCACTTTGCTCAATACGCCGGATGTTGAGGTTGCGGAGGAAGTAACAGTTAATTAACTTGAAGCGATAACCGCAGTAAACAGTGAGTGCGATTGAGTAAAATAAATCAGCTGAATGGTTTTAATGATCAGGATTCAAAGGATTTTAAATATCTTAAAAAATAAATTTGAACATGTACAATTCTTTTTAATTTCAGCTGATAATTCTACATTTTTCTTAAATTCAAAAATGTAAATATTTCACTTGAAAATTTACCCAATTTGGAACTAACTTTCACTATTTCCTTATTATTTGTTTCATTTGTTTTTAAATACTTATAGCAGTCAAATTATATTTATAAAAATTAATTATTAAATTAATTAAGACCTCATCTCATTACTATTCAAAAATTTTAATTTGAAATTCCGCTTTCAATTTAAAAAAATTCAAAGGTTAAAAATAAAATAAATAAATAAATAATGTACCAGTAAAAGATTATAAAAGTCAATACTTTCATTTGATAATTATTATTTTTATAATTGATTAACAAATAAAAAATGTCTTAAATTTTTTTGTACA